CAGTTTTTTGTTATCTGCTTGCGTTTAGTTTTTTAGAAAAGATAAGCCTACTCCTATTAAAGTTAATTCAGTCAAAAAAAGGTGAATAATTAATTTTAGTTAAAGAGAAAAAAGACTTACATAAAATGATGCCTAACATGCCCACAGATCGATAGAATATTTATGACTACTTTTTGTGGCTAAATGTGGACTTACTCTTAATTACAAAGCCTTTAACAGTGCAAGAACTACAAACCCATTAACAATGTAAGAATTAAAAAGCAGTGCTAGCTAGTACAGCGTTTTTTAAATTCATTATAAAAACAATGTTGATGTGCAATCTCAATATTTAATTACAAGATTGTTTATAAAAAAACCTTTGCACAAAACTATTACATGTTTTGAAGCAATTACTGACTTTATTAATAATTATGTATATGCTTAATATTTAATTAAGTTGTTTTTGTTTTTTCTATAAAAAAACAATATTTTGCGCAAAACTGTTACACTATTTGTTGAAGCAAATACTTTTAGATTTCTTTTAATATTACATAAAATCAAAATTATGTCTGCAGACAATTCAAAAATAAATAAAAAAATTTAAATGATAATTTCAATTTTCATAGAAGTAATTAATTTTCATAGTAAAGATATTGCTCGTAATGCACTGTAAAAAAATAATTTTTGCACAGTGGGATGATCAACAGCGCAAAATAATGACCAGGAAGGATCAGGTTCAAAACCAGAAAATATTAATCACACAAAAATACATATACTTCTGGAAAATCTATTACAACTGGCTATAAATAAACAAAATTTGACATAAAACATTCAATTTTTGAACCCTGACCTTTTTAATAGTATTTTGTTCAAAAGTGAAAAATTTTAGACATCTATTGCTACATAATGCCATTAAGGTTCCTTAATATGTTATAATATACTAAATTAGTTTGAACACTTTTAATAAATAATTTATATTCCGTGAAACTTCAGATTCATATTTCTCCAAAGTTTAATGACATAGAATATTTCTCCAAACTATAGTTTAATGACATAGAATATTTCTCCAAACTATAATTTAATGACATAGAATATTTCTCCAAACTATAGTTTAATGACATAGAATATTTCTCCAAACTATAATTAAATGACATAGAATATTTCTCCAAACTATAGTTTAATGACATAGAATATTTCTCCAAACTATAATTTAATGACATAGAATATTTCTCCAAACTATAATTTAATGACATAGAATATTTCTCCAAACTATAATTTAATGACATAGAATATTTCTCCAAACTATAATTTAATGACATAGAATATTTCTTCAAACTATAATTTAATGACATAGAATATTTCTCCAAACTATAATTTAATGACATAGAATATTTCTCCAAACTATACTACTGTGATCAAAAAGTAAGGTGAATTTCTTTATAAAATGAAAAATCTTTATTTATTCTTCCAAATCTGTATCGTCCCCCTCAAAATAATCCCCCCCGGCCCCAATGCACTTTTGCCAACGTTTTTTCCAGTCTTCGAAGCATGCCAAAAAGTCCTCGGTAGGGATAGCCTTCAATGCGCGTGCCGATTCACGTTGGATCTCTTCAATGGACTCAAAACGATTTCCCCGGAGTGGTCTCTTGAGCTTTGATAACAGCCAGAAGTCACACGGTGCTAAGTCGGGCGAATACGGTGGTTGTGGAGCAACATGGGTAGAGTTTTTGGCGAAAAACTCACGAAGAACCAGTGCTGTGTGCGAAGGCGCATTATCATGGTGCAAAATCCAAGATTTATTGGCCCATAATTCCGGTCTCTTTTTGCGAATAGCTTTACGCAAATGTCGCATAACGCTTAAATAATATTCCTTGTTGACAGTTTGGCCAGTTGGAAGGAATTCGTAGTGCACGACACCACAATAATCAAAGAAAACAGTCAACATGACCTTGATTTTTGAGCGACTTTGACGTGGTTGCTTCGGTCTCGGCTCGTCTTTTTCACGGTATTCACTCGATTGGTTGGTTGTTTCAGGGTCGTATGCGTAGACCCAAGTCTCATCGCTAGTAATAATTTGTTTGTAGACGTCTTGATAGTCAGAAAGCATTGCTTCACACGCTTTAACGCGACGCTCTTTTTCAAAGAAATTGAGAAATTTCGGCACCAAACGTGATTTGAGTCTTTTGAGGCCCAAATGATCCTTCAAAATCGCTTGCACCGACCCAAATGATATTCCAACCATGTCAACAAGGTCTCGAATGGTTAACCGACGATTTGCAAGCACCAATTCTTTGATTTTGTTGATGTGGCGATCATCAATCGAAGTCGATGGTCGTCCGGAGCGTTCCAAGTCATCAACGCGTTCTCGGCCTGCTTTGAAGTCTTTGTACCACTTGTAAACATTTTTTTGAGACATAGTCTCTTCACCGAAGGCCTTTTGCAACATTTGATACGTTTCAGCAGCAGAAATATCATTACGCAAACAAAATTTAATAGCACTTCTTTGCTCAACAAAATTAGACATAGTGAAAATCGCCAAACGCACTTTTAATACTTCAGAAACAAGCGTAAACAAAAAAAAAAAAATTATGAATTTGACATGTAATTTGGCGCAAATGTTAATGACATTCATACCAACTTAAAAATAAAAAAGGTTGGATGATTCGAATAAGGCGGGAAGTTTAAATTAAAAATTCACCTTACTTTTTGATCACAGTAGTAATTTAATGACATAGAATATTTCTCCAAACTATAATTTAATGACATAGAATATTTCTCCAAACTATAATTTAATGACATAGAATATTTCTCCAAACTATAATTTAATGACATAGAATATTTCTCCAAACTATAATTTAATGACATAGAATATTTCTCCAAACTATAATTTAATGACATAGAATATTTCTCCAAACTATAATTTAATGACATAGAATATTTCTCCAAACTATAATTTAATGACATAGAATATTTCTCCAAACTATAGTTTAATGACATAGAATATTTCTCCAAACTATAATTTAATGACATAGAATATTTCTCCAAACTATAGTTTAATGACATAGAATATTTCTCCAAACTATAATTTAATGACATAGAATATTTCTCCAAACTATAGTTTAATGACATAGAATATTTCTCCAAACTATAGTTTAATGACATAGAATATTTCTCCAAACTATAATTTAATGACATAGAATATTTCTCCAAACTATAATTTAATGACATAGAATATTTCTCCAAACTATAATTTAATGACATAGAATATTTCTCCAAACTATAATTTAATGACATAGAATATTTCTCCAAACTATAGTTTAATGACATAGAATATTTCTCCAAACTATAATTTAATGACATAGAATATTTCTCCAAACTATAATTTAATGACATAGAATATTTCTCCAAACTATAGTTTAATGACATAGAATATTTCTCCAAACTATAATTTAATGACATAGAATATTTCTCCAAACTATAATTTAATGACATAGAATATTTCTCCAAACTATAATTTAATGACATAGAATATTTCTCCAAACTATAATTTAATGACATAGAATATTTCTCCAAACTATAATTTAATGACATAGAATATTTCTCCAAACTATAATTTAATGACATAGAATATTTCTCCAAACTATAGTTTAATGACATAGAATATTTCTCCAAACTATAATTTAATGACATAGAATATTTCTCCAAACTATAGTTTAATGACATAGAATATTTCTCCAAACTATAGTTTAATGACATAGAATATTTCTCCAAACTATAGTTTAATGACATAGAATATTTCTCCAAACTATAGTTTAATGACATAGAATATTTCTCCAAACTATAATTTAATGACATAGAATATTTCTCCAAACTATAATTTAATGACATAGAATATTTCTCCAAACTATAATTTAATGACATAGAATATTTCTCCAAACTATAATTTAATGACATAGAATATTTCTCCAAACTATAGTTTAATGACATAGAATATTTCTCCAAACTATAATTTAATGACATAGAATATTTCTCCAAACTATAGTTTAATGACATAGAATATTTCTCCAAACTATAATTTAATGACATAGAATATTTCTCCAAACTATAATTTAATGACATAGAATATTTCTCCAAACTATAATTTAATGACATAGAATATTTCTCCAAACTATAATTTAATGACATAGAATATTTCTCCAAACTATAGTTTAATGACATAGAATATTTCTCCAAACTATAATTTAATGACATAGAATATTTCTCCAAACTATAATTTAATGACATAGAATATTTCTCCAAACTATAGTTTAATGACATAGAATATTTCTCCAAACTATAATTTAATGACATAGAATATTTCTCCAAACTATAATTTAATGACATAGAATATTTCTCCAAACTATAATTTAATGACATAGAATATTTCTCCAAACTATAATTTAATGACATAGAATATTTCTCCAAACTATAATTTAATGACATAGAATATTTCTCCAAACTATAATTTAATGACATAGAATATTTCTCCAAACTATAATTTAATGACATAGAATATTTCTCCAAACTATAATTTAATGACAGAATATTTCTCCAAACTATAATTTAATGACATAGAATATTTCTCCAAACTATAATTTAATGACATAGAATAAGAGGGCACCATATAATAAAATATTCATAAGTATATATTTTAAATTAGTCATCTAACATCTAACTATATTAATGACAGATGTAGAATTTTTACTTTTCACATTTTTGCTTTTTTTTTTATAAAAATCTTCAATTTTTATGTTTACATTTTCATTTTTATGAAGTACTATTTCACTATTATATTTGTTAATCAGTAATGAAATCAAACCAGTGTTTTCTAATTTTCTATCTAATATAAATTTTTGAAAGCATCATGGGATATAAATTTTACCAGGTAAAATACGAAACACCATAATACGAAACAACAAACAATTATTGGAAAAAAAAATTGAAATTAGTTGATGAATATAAATTTATTTTATAATTGTAAAAAAACAAAAATTTCAACACATTTCAAATTGTAAAAAAACAAAAATTTTAATCCCAGTCTCTACATTTTAATCCCAGCCTCTACATTTTAATCCTAGTCTCTACATTTTAATCCCAGTCTCTACATTTTAATCCCAGTCTCTACATTTTAATCCCAGTCTCTACATTTTTTTTCAAATTATTCTGATTCATAATAGATATAAACATATTGTAATTTGAACAAAACTTCATGTTAAAAAGTTGCTTATTTCAAACATCTAAAAAACTTGGCTACATTTATGTTATATAAAAAGCACTTACTTGTACAACATTGACATTATTAATGTTGTTAAACTCTACGCTCTCAGCACCAATTAATATTGCTAATTCTTCAGCCTAATATAATATAAAAGAATAATAAGAAATAGTAAAGAAATATAATTCACAGATCCAAACAAGGCGATTTTAGGTGGTATGGGATTGGGTGTTCCTCCCTCCTTTCTCAAAGAAGGTTATTTTAAAGTTATAGTTTGTTTTTGAATTGTTTTTTGACAAATTTAGTCAAATAGTTGGGTATTTCACATGATTTAATTAATTAAAATTTAGTTTTTTTGTATTAAAAGGAAGGTTAGTAATCTTTTTTTAATTAAATATATTATGAATAATGCAATCTGGGGTGAATCTGAAAATTGCCAAAAATAGTCCTTAATATCCTTTTAATGGTATTCTTTTAACAAACTTTCACTTTTAAATTTTTTTACCAGAAAAATGAGTAAATAAATAGTAAATTAACTGTTATCACTATAAATTTATTATTTTTTTAATGTTAATTCACCTCCCCAGGGTCAAAAAGGCCACTACAGTCAAGAAGGCTACTTTTATTGCTGTTACAACCCACTCTCAACTCTATAACTCTGAAACACACCACTTGACAAGTTAAGTGTGGTACTACCAGGGAGGTAGTGGGATTCGAACTCAAAACTTCTTGCTTATAAAACAAGTGCTTTACCACAACACCACTACCACAATAACAGAATAACTTTTTGATAGCTTTTTGAGAAAACTTTTTTAGAGTTTTAGAAGTTAAATAATAAAGAAATTTGTGACAGTGATTTTTTTGTTTTTTTGTTTTTTCTTTTTAATTTTGTAGTTTTTACAATCTTTTAAAAAACTTTAACTTTGACACACCCAAAAATTGATATACCCAAAAAATTTTCAAATTTAGAAATAAAATGTAGATACCAAGAATGGGTAGAGACTATTGCAATAATTCTCTACCTCTTTCAATTTATCAACTATTTTAACTCCAATATAACAAAAATTCCACTTTTGATGGTATCATGGATACCAACAAAAGTGTTATGTCACAATACATTTAATAATTTGAAAAAAATGTGTAAAATAACTTGTTTGAATTTTAATGTCTAAAAAACTTTTATGAAACAAATATTTCAAATCTTATTTTTAACTTAAAATCCAAAATTGAGTCGTTTTAAAATTCAAACTTTAATTTAACCTATAAATGCAAATCTTTAAAAGTAAAACTTAAATGAATTAATTACTTAAAATTATTGATTAAATGAAAATTAAAAAAATTAAATAAAAGAAAAAAATTAAAAAAACAAAAAATAAACGAAAAGAGAAAGATTCTAAAAATTTGAAATTTTAACTCTAAAGATTTACATGACCCTAATATAGTGTTCTGTGAACAGATATATTTTTTGATAATTGTGCACTGGGACATCAAATCATTTTCCCTCATATATAATTAAATAAATTTTTTTCCCTCATATATAAATAAATATAATTAATAAATAAATTTTTATTTGGTTCTGGATAAGAATTTTTTTTTTTAAATGAATTCTCTTCAAACAATAAGCATTTAAGTTTTAAACTAAATAGTTTGCAGAGTGGGAGTTAACAGAAAGCAAAAATGAATGTTAAAAAGCAAAAAAATGGTTGGAATGATTTTTTGAGCGTGAAATAACACATACAGTAATTTTGCTGAATGACAAGTCTTGCATCATAAAGTTGATGAAGCAAGTGATGATGTTAATCATTAATAGGTGTTAACAAACGAGGTAGGTGTTAACAAACAAGGTAGGTGTTAACAAACAAGGTAGGTGTTAACAAACAAAGTTGATGTTAACAAACATAACTTTTTATCAAAAGTATACAGTTCTGTCATTAACAAACAAACCCACTTAGACCCCAGACCATCTTAGAGGTAAGATTATCAGGAAGATCATTAATATAAATAAGAAACAACACAAGATCAAGGATGGAACCTCGTGGTACCCCATAAGTTACAGCAAATAAAAAAGAGTAATGTCCATCAAGAACAACTTTAATACTGCAGTTAGAAACCAATAATTTTAAAATGCTTCTTCTAATTCTTTTCTTTCAAAAAAAAAAAAAAAAAAAGTTAAAGATTTTTAAAAAGTCTCTAGAACAGTAACTTTTGAGATTTTTGAGATAAAAAACTTACAGTTCAAAAGTTTTTTGTTTTTCCATAAAAATAAAAACATTCTGAATGTTTTTTGAGATAAAAAACTCAGTCACTTACAGTTCAAATGATTTTTGTTTTTCTATAAAAATAAAAACATTCTGAATGTTTTTATTTTGATTCTTTTACTGGTTACATACATTGACTGAGAAATAAGTAGAACTTACTAGGAGTGCTGCAAGAAAAATATCCAAACCTTTAATGAATGAAAAAAACTTTGTACCATGATAAATAATATAATATCAATTATATCTCCACATTTGAATATACATTGGATCTGATAAATATTTTAATTGCATATCAGATCTTTTTAATACAACATTTTATAAAATCTACAATATATTGAAAAATACATTGAAAATCTTAACTAATATGTTTTTAGAACATCAAATAAAAATGAGAAATATTTATCGCTTTGATAAATCTTTGAAAAGTTAATATTTTTCAGATTTAACTTTTCAACAACTTTAAGTTATTAATAAACAAAGGATCTCTTATTGTATTGTATTTTTATTGTATATATTATTGTTAATTTTTTTAAAATATCAAACAAATGCGGTAATGGTGTGGAGGTAGAGTGATTGCTTCATAAGGGAGAAGTACCGAATTCAAAGCCAACCACGTCCCTGGTAGAATGCAAATCAACTTGCTTCAACTTTTTTAACTTTTGAGAATATAAAATTTAGTAATCTAAAAATAATAGGCCTTAAAATTAGAAATTATTTATTTTTTTAATAAAAATAAAAACATTATATTGTTTTTATTCTTATATTTTTACTAGTTACATACATTAACTGAAAAATAGATAGAACATGCAAGGAATGCTGCTACATTGACTAACAAATAGATAGAACATGCAAGGAATACTGCTACATTGACTGACATATAGGTAGAACATGCAAAGAGTGATGCTAAATCAACTGACAAATAGGTAGAACATATAAAGAGTGCTGCTACATCGACTGAGGGTATTTGTTTGAGCAGGCAATCTATCAATAAAATAAAAAATTTATATATTTTAAAACTTTTTCCCTACTTCTAAAATAATTTTTTTTTTTAAAACATAAAGTTTACATTTTATGGTAAAAAATAAAAATGACCAAGAAAGAGTATATATGTATATATATGTGTATATATATATATATTTTTTTTTTTGAAAAATGACATGAAGGTATATTATATAATAATTTAAAACATCAAGAAATACAGTTTTTCAGTATTAATAATTTTTTTATTTAAGAAATTTTCACTGGTTTATGGATACCAGAATCATCAGCTTATTAAATATTACAATAATTTTTAACCATTATTGTTTATACAAAACTATAATTATATTGTTTTTATTCTTATATTCTTACTAGTTACATACATTAACTGACAAATAGATAGAACATTTTTTTATTTAAGAAATTTTCACTGGTTATGGATACCAGAATCATCAGCTTATTAAATATTACAATAATTTTTAACCATTATTGTTTATACAAAACTATAACTATATTCTTTTTATTCTTATATTCTTACTAGTTACATACATTAACTGACAAATAGATAGAACATGCAAGGAATGCTGCTACATTGACTAACAAATAGATAGAACATGCAAGGAATACTGCTACATTGACTGACATATAGGTAGAACATGCAAAGAGTGATGCTAAATCAACTGACAAATAGGTAGAACATATAAAGAGTGCTGCTACATTGACTGAGGGTATTTGTTTGAGCAGGCAATCTATCAATAAAATAAAAAATTTATATATTTTAAAACTTTTTCCCTACTTCTAAAATAATTTTTTTTTTTAAAACAAAGTTTACATTTTATGGTAAAAAATAAAAATGACCAAGAAAGAGTATATATGTATATATATGTGTATATATATATATTTTTTTTTTGAAAGATGACATGAAGGTATATTATATAATAATTTAAAACATCAAGAAATACAGTTTTTCAGTATTAATAATTTTTTTATTTAAGAAATTTACACTGGTTTATGGATACCAGAATCATCAGCTTATTAAATATTACAATAATTTTTAACCATTATTGTTTATACAAAACTGGTCAGCGGTTGAACCGCTCCTTTTTTTTAATTTAAAAAATGGCATACAAAACATGTTGATACATCCGCGTATTTACCTGCATTTTTGTTTCACCTCCATAAAATTTGTGTAATGTTTCGTCTTTTTATTTATTATAAGAAAGAGAATTGCTTTAATAGTTAGATATTTTTATATCTATATAATAAATTGTTATAACAAATTATTATATTAACTGTGTGTAACCTTCTGGTGTCATTATTTTAACCAACATTGAATTTAGCTCTACAGCTTTTAAGTGATAATTTCTCGTACGGAATTAGTCCCTTAGGGAATAGTTTAGCAATTTTTTGTCCGTGTAATTCTCCAAAAGGAATAACTTATTTCACAATTGCTAATCGTTATTTTAAATGATTGGTAGAAATTATTGCCCAGAAAAAATTGTTTACGTAACAATCACTACACTTTAAAACAGTTGCATTTTATTATATAGGTTCCAGTCTGGCTGTTACTAGGGTTTGATTTAAATACTGCTCTGTATTCAGCTTTTGGGAATATTTTTCGAAGTTTTGGTGAAAGGCCTGGTAGCCATGGTAAAGACATTTTAAGAAAATTATTGCATTCTATAATTTTTTTTTGTTGATGAAATTGTGTGTAATATTTCTAAACTGCTTTTCATTGCACCCATTTTCAATAAACATGTCAATTAAAAAATTTATTTTTTAACTGACATGTTTATTAATAAACTATTTTTAAATGTTTCGTAAAGGAGGTTACTACATATGGAGTAAGATCTGTAGAGAAATCCTTTAAATATAGTGGTTAAAATATTTGGATGATTTGAATGTGGTTTAGTTTGAATGTTAGTGATTGCCTCCTTTCGATACACTTTGTCCTCATATTTTCCTATTGTGTTATTTGTAATAGGTTTATCAAGAAAGTATTTGTTCAGGTCTTTTGTACATTTGAGCTCCTTATTTAGCTGAATTTAGCAATTTGAAAAAAAAGCAGAAAATTGAAATATATAATAAAGCCATTCAGCCGCTGACGTCAAAAATAACAGTTTTATATAAACTATAACAGCTAAAGATGCATTTCTATTTACAGATATATTCTGAGCAAGAAAAATATCCAAACCTTTTATGAGTATAAAAACTTATATTTATTAAAAACTTAACTTGGCTCGCTTTCCTAATAATATAATGTTATATTTTTTTATTTATATAACATTGGATCTGATAAATTTTTAAACTGCCTATCAGATCTTTTTAATACATTATTTTATAAAATCTATTATAAATCTTTTAAAATATTAAACTAATGCAGTAATGGTAATAGAGTGATTGCTTCATAAGCAAGAAGTTCCAAGTTTGAATTCCACCACGTCCCTGGTAGTTTGCAAGTCAACTTGTTTCTATTTTTTATGTCTTCTTGGATTATTACTCACTACTGAGCTCTCATAGAATAAAATACAATTCATTGCTATAATATGTTTCTTTAAACATCTATTCATCGTGATAATAATATTTCTTTAAACAACTAATCAACAAAGTGCAATTCAATACCAAATACAAATCAAGAAGTTAAAGAGTTAAGAGAGGTTTGCAACCAAAATCACTCACTTGTTATAGCTCTCTCGGCCTTGGGGATGTGAACAAATTAAAAAAAAAGATAAAAAAACAAATTTTGTTAAAATACCTATACTTTTTTTGATCAAGCAATATATATATATATATGCTTATATAATATATATATATATATATATATATATATATATATATATATATATATATATATATATATATATATACATATATATATATACATATATATATATATATACATATATACATATATACATACATATATATATATATATATATATATATATATATATATATATATATATATATATATATATATATATATATATATATATATATATACATATATATATATATATATATATATATATATATATATATATATATATATATATATATATATACCACACATATATTAGGGTTATGACATTTTTCAAATCTATTGTGGCCATACTTCTATAACCTGAGAAATGTTGAGTTATTGATAAAAAACTGGTCTGTTGATTGTCTAGTTGCAAAAATACACCCCTACCCTCCCAGTTAATAATATGATTTTTCATATATTACATGAGGACGTGTAAAGCTTATTTACCACATATTTATAAACAGCCACAAAAATATATAAAACAAATTGTAAATTATATTTGGTATTTAAAAATGGGAATATGCAAACGTGAAATTTATTTGAAAGAATGACCTGTAAAGCATAATACTAACTTACAGAAAATTATTACTTTCATTTGTAAATTATATTTAGTATTTAAAAACTACATGTCAGCACTTAGGTGACATGTAGGGATCTTCCATCAATATAACACCACATTTAAAATTTTGTTTGTCCTTGGAATATGAAGTGCACTACTTACTTTGCTCCAATGTATCAAAAATCACTTTAAAGCAGCGGTACAATTAAGTTCAGTTAATGCATCTAGCATATGGTCATACAATTTATGATCAAATAATTGTTTGGTGAACTTAAGTTTTTCCACAGATTTGCAATAAAAGTTGCTGCACTTTCAAATTCATACCTTTGGTATAAGAAAATAGGCAATAAGAACATATGATGCTCTAGATTTCCATCTTTCCAATGACCACTTAATTTTTGGTAATCTTTTTTAATTCTTGAAGTAACAAAAAGCTTCACATAACCCATAAAGGAATTTGAAATCATCTTGCTATCCTAGGTTTATTTAATAATTATAAGTTTCATATGCATAATTTTTTTGAAGATTTTCATAATTTTCGGATAAATCCTTTACAAATTTATAATCAAAACCAGAAGTTATTGATTTATAATTTACAAAATGATCCAAAACATGTTTTAAAATGAGATCCAATATATGATGCAGACATAAATATTGTGGTTCAGTAAAGCCTCTGGTTTTCATTACATTTTGTATTTTTACAAATTTTAATTTTTGCTGTGTGTTGTGCTGTTGTGTCACATATAATCATTGTAATACATTTCCATGCATCAAAATCATTTAACAATTTTTTTAAAGCTTCAAAAATATCATGGGATTTTCCACTTTTACATTTAATAATTCCTAAATTAATTTTACTATTCTCACTTTGAAGTATTGCAACTTGGTATTCAGTCTTATTTATTTTCTTTCCATCGAAATGTAGGCAGAAATATTCTTCTTGCACTATTTTAGTAATAATTTTCTACTTACTTTCCCCTTGAGTTATAGTTGATTGCCTGACTTGGAGTTTCTACTTTAATACCTTTTTCATATTTACAGATTCTAGCTGATTTATTTGTACTTAAAGATTCAGTTATCACAAGATTAGATGGTCACTTGGTTCTATTGTATACTCTCTTTCTTGATTTTTTAATTTCCACTGGTTTATAATTGTCTTGTGAATTTAAACCTGAACCACTTTCTTCTGATGCAGTTAAACTGCTAACTGAAAAATTATTTACTTTGCTTATCAAAGTTGTATTTTGCATTACAAACTCTGATTTTTGAAGGATGTAATGAAAATTATGTGTTAGTATTGTGACCAACTTTTCCTGAACTTAATAATTGTATGTAGATTCTTGATGTTATAGGTTTTTCAAACTAAATTTTTTGTAGTACTATTTTCTGTATTTGTTTTGATATTTTTTATTATTAAATTCAATATTACTATATAAAATTTTAATTTAAACTCTCAATTTCTCATGTTTTTAAACTATGACCATATAAAAATGTGACAAAAGTTAAAAAAATCATAACCCTAATGTATATACAAGGGTTATTCTAGAAAAATAATTAGGATGACAGTTCCTCCTATACCAGTGCCTGCCATAAGGAAATTTGCCTTATGTAGACATTTTTTGGTCAGAGCTGTCGAAACATGGTCAGCGCTGTTGAAAATGGTCTAGAATAGCCTTTGAAATATATATATGAACATACAGCGTGCAAAATTAACATCAGCACTCTGCATTTGCTAAGGGCTTTGTAATTTTATAATATTTTGCTTTAACAAACAAGTGCTGAGGCAATTTATCAAAATAAGACAATCTGTAAAGAGCGACTTATCGCGCTTTGCAGATGGAAACCTCATTTTTCTTTTTAATTTTTATAGTCAATAACTAATATAAAGTTAGTAAAAAGAGATATTAAACAACTTTTAAAAAAGAGGGCAATAATATAATAAAAAAACTATAAAAAAATCATTTCTAAAACCAAATGTAATGTGTAATAAAAACCATTTTTCATTCATGAAATTACAAGAAAATAAAAAATACAAAACTCAGTTTTAAAAATGTTTCTCCGCACAGTGGCCTTGTTCATCAAGGTTCGTGTTTCGGAGTTATAGAGTTGAGAGAGGGTTATAACCACAAATAAGTAGCCTCCTCGTCTGTAGTGGCCTTCTCGGCCTTGAGGAGGTGAATTAAAATAATATATATATATATATATATATATATATATATATATATATATATATATATATATATATATATATATATATATATATTTATATATAAACGTGTGGGATTACATTAATTTAGCATTGTATAAAAGTATACCATACTTTTAATAATAAAAAGTATTAAACCTTGTCCTTTGATGATAAATCTTGCAATGAATTCTCCTGCACACTAACAACTCCTGAAAAAAAATCAAAATTTAACTTAAATTTAAAAGCAACCACACCCTAAAACTATAAATTTTTATTACAAAATATCACTTTGTGATATTTTACTTAACTTTCTGATAAAGAGCATTATTTCCTATTTATTCCATTATTTTTGTAATTAAATTTTTAGAGTGTTTTTGTTTTGTTTGCATTTGCTGTTTAGTTTTAGTCTTTGTGTGTCTTTAATTGAAGTTATTATTGTTCTTTACCAATTTTCTACTAGTGGTACATTAAGTTATGTATATAAATTATATACTGCACTCTGCACCATTTTATCTTTTATTTTGTAAAACAAAAAATAAAATGGTATCTTTGGAAATTTACACTTGTTTTTTATATTATTCACTTGTATTTATTGAAGATTTATTTTGATTGATGGTACTTATGTCAGAGAAAGTCATGGTCACCAAGTATTTACCTATCTACAAAGGGCTGGTTATTTAGACAAAGTCTGTTCATCCTATATGCAAGCTGGACCTATCATGCAGAGAGGAAGAGAAAATATTTTTCAGATATTAGTTATAATAAAAGTTAGAAAAATGTTCAGTGAGAAAATATAACTAGAGGAGGTAAGTATAAATTTAAAGAAGAAATATTAAGTTTGTTTACATTAATCACTTTCAATTTAATTCTTTATCTTTCTATAGTTTATATGGTTAAATGAAATTTATTTGTTTTAGAAATTATTTTTGTATTAGATTGTATTTGAGTTAAAATTCTTATAAAGAAGAAGTTCTACTGTAAAAATTAGTAAAATGCAGTAAACTTTTTTTATGATATAACAATATCATAACAATGTTGATACACAAATCATTATAACGATGTTTATGCACAAACCATTATAACAGGGCCGGATTTACCTATAAGCCAACTAGGCCACGGCCTAGGGCCCCCAACATTTGGGGGCCCCAAAATTTAATAAACATAAAAAGTTGAAAACTAAAAATAATGTGTAGAAAAATCAAAAACACCGGTTTATATTTTTTTCTTATACCTAGTGACATCTATTGAAAGAATTTTGAATATACAACGAAATTCTGTCAACTGTCAACTCCATTTTGATTAAATTTTGTATCAGTGCAAAACAAATAAAAATTTGTAAAAGTATTTAAAAATTCTTAGATTTTTCCATCAATTAAGGTTTGTGAGTGATAGTAGACTTTTAAAATTTGTTAATTTAATATGGGCTTATTTTTATTAGCATAACGAAAAGGAGTTATGAAAGTGGAGCCCAAAAAAGAAAGAGAAAAGCAGAAAAAGAAGAAGAAGTTAAAAAACTTCCAAAACTAGATTCCTTCTTTGTCAGAAAGGTAAATGAAAATGAGGAAAGTAGTACAGTTTCAAAAAAAGAGAAAAATACTCCAGAACTCCTAGATGAAATAGCTTTATCGTCAAGAACCCCAACTTCATTTGATAATGTAGCTGATCATCCTTTAGAAATCGACATTGAATTAAAATTAAACAGAAGTGATGATATTGGACAATGGGGAGAACTGTCTAATGATGATGTTTCATTCTGGGTCACACAAGTTCCAAAAAATTTGCAGAACTTGAACAATAATTTTCGAACATCAAAACAAAATTACAATGATCATGACCGTTATTGTTCGAAACAGTTTTTTTATGGAAAAAGAGCAAACGGAGAAAAATATATTTGTGAATGGTTAGTGTATTCTCATTCAAAAGGTACTGTTTTTTGCTTTGTATGTACTATTTTTAAAATTTCCAAATTCTGTCTTGCAACAAAAGGATTAAAAGATTGGAAAAACGCAAGTTCTTTATTGAAAAGCCATGAAAACTCTACTAAACACAGAGAAGCTTTAATGAGTTATTTGGTTTGTAGAAGTGATAAAACATTAGATGGTCATTTAGAAGATGAAACAAGAAAAGAACAGAAATATTGGCGAAAGATTCTAGAGCGTGTTGTAGATGTGATTAGTACATTGATTGAAGGAAATCTAGCCTTTAGAGGTTCGAATGAAAGATTTGGCATTGAAGGGAGTGGAAATTTTATAGGACTATTGGAATTAGTTGCAAAATTTGACCCTTTTCTAGCTGAACATATTAAAAATTATGGTCACACTGGTTCAGGACACACATCGTATCTCTCCAAAACTGTGTATGATGAACTCGTTTCATTAATGGCGAAAAAAGTACTCGAGGCTATAGTCGGCGAAGTAAAAAAGTCAAAGTATTATGGAATTTCAGTAGATTCTACACCAGATATATCTCACAAAGATCAACTCTGTGTAGTTGTGAGATATATAGAGCAAATTCCCTTCGAACCCATTAAATTCTCAATATTCACACTGTTTTGTTTAAATAATAAAATTTTAAATAAAAAAAATGAAAATTTTTTTTCCCCAAAATTAAATTATTTTAGGGGCCTCAAAAATGTTTTGGCCTAGGGCCCCCAAAAGGCTAAATCCGGCCCTGCATTATAATAATGTTTTTTTTTAGGTGCCTCAAGAAGCCATAAGTCTTGTCACAGAGCACCTTAAAAGAGCATTTAAATTGGAAGTTCACGCCTCCTTTCTTACTAATGGCACTAAATATGTACAGAGCTTGCTTCGAACCCTGGATCTCTTGTTTATAAAGCAAGCGCTCTAACCACGACACACGGCAAAGCGCTCTAACCACGACACGGAAAGATGGCACAGATACACAAACCATTATAACATGCTTTATTTTAAAGAGATTTTTTTTAATTACTATCAGGTTTAAAAAATGCATCATAATCTTGAACATTCACCAGGGAAGATTGACCAGGGTTGAGAAGAAAGATAACACCAGTGATACATTAGCAGTAGCAATCTGTAGTCAGCAAGATAAACAATGATATGATGAGTCTCAGAGAAGCAGCTAATGAACGTAATGTTCCAAAGAGTACATAATTAAACAAACCAACAAAAAAAACAAGGTAATAGAGTTGGTCATCCAACTATTTTATCATCAGATACAGAGATGTACTTATTAAGTAAATCACAACTTGCTCTAAATGGGGATTTCCATGAGATACTATTGATCTTAAGGCTATTCTAAAGAAATTTCTGGAAAAATTTGAAGTAAGAATTGCTATGTTCAATTATTGGAATTGTTTCTTTTGCATAAAACAATTATGTTACAACTATATTTATCATTTTAATTTTGTTATATTACTTTTGTTCATGGTACTTGCATTTATTAGACACATAACTCCTTTTTGTGTCCAAGTGTTTTGTTGATTGCATTTGTTCAACATATAAATCTTATTACTGATGGACATCATTACAGTATTATCAAGTGAAAAGCATTTTATTGGTATGGTGTATAATTTGTTAAAACATATTTTATGTAAGTACTTACATACAATTTTTTTAAAAAAAGAAAAAAAATATTCTAAAGTAACGCTATGACTTGGTAATGGTCAATTTTATACATTAAAATAAATTAATTGATCAAAGTATCCCTACCATGAGGCATGATTGGACAGCCACAAAATTTTAAAAGATTGAAAGCAGCTTTGAATAAGTAAAACTGGGTAGAGAAATAACAAAAAAAAAATTAGATTTAAAAAAAAAAAAAGAAAGATTAGTCTTATTGTTTTGTTTTGTTTTCTTCTTTATTGATCTTGATTTTGAACTTTAATTTAAGCAGAAAATTAGATTTTTCATTATTTTTTTAATTAGATTTTCATTTTTTACTAAAAAATGATATAGCAATGTTTTTATTAAATTTATTTATACCTTTTTTTTCAAACATAAATGCAACAGAGCCATCTTCAATGAAGGTACAACTAAAAGTTTATGTAAAAAGAAATCACAAAAAACTATGTAGCTATGGATACACATCATTAAATATTATACAAATACAGTTTAACATAGTAAAACAATTTGTATTCTTATTGGAAGCAAGAACTCTCATTCTAATTAATAATGGGTTGTTAAAACAATTTTCCTGTTTTCCAGAAACTCTGGTTGCCACATATACTTGTCACAAAATTGGCATTTTTTTAATAAAAAGAGTCCATGTTGTTACCACTTTTACAACAAAATCCCCTAAAAAAACTACTAGGAAGCACTGCTCAAAAAACTGTTTATATCTCTTAAATTCAATATATATTTATATATACCTGTTTACATCTCTCAAAAATAATATATTTTATATATATATATATATATATATATATATATATATATATATATATATATATATATATATATCTGTTTATATCTCTCAAATGTAATATATTTATATAAATCTGTTTATATATCTCAAATGTAATATATATATATATATATATATATATATATATATATATATATATATATATATATATATATATATATATATATATATATATATATATTAACCTTATTTACTATAAACAAGGCTGCAAGTTACAAACTATTAATTTTGGAGTTACTAGAGAAAACAAACAAACAAGGAAACAGTTTAAAGAGGATTTGAAATGTTTTAGGTTGTATAAGTCAGGAAAACATGAAGATGGGAGAGAGGGAGGGGTGAAGCACGGAGAAAAAAATTAGACAAATAAAAGTTATTAGAGCATGCAGGAACAGTTACAGTGAAAGGATGCAATGTTATGAATGAGTCAAGTAAGAATGAGTTTTGGTTGATGAAACTGGAGATTATAGTTTCTTTAAGCAGTGAACATGTTTATAGAAAAAGATGTAGCCTTACAATAATGGGAGAGAGGGTCAGGCTTGAAAGATAAAGCAGGTCTAATTATATTTACAATTGGTTTTTGGACCTTGTTTATGAGAGAAAGAGCATCATTAGAAAAACCAGTCCAAACATGACAACAGTATTCCATACATACACAAATGAGAGACTTTTAGATATAGAGAATGGAATCATGATTAAGATAATGGCAAGCATGATAAAGAGAACCAAAATTAGCAGATGCTAACTTTGAAAATGATTGTATATATGGTTTCCATGAGAGGTCAGTAGAATTGCCATTCATTAATATAGGAATGTCGAAAATAATGCATGATTGTCAGGAAGATCATTAATGTAGATAAGAAACAATACAGGACCAAGGATAGAACCTTGAGAAACCCCAGAAATTACTGGAAATTAAGAAGAGTGTCGGCCTTTGAAAATGAAAAAGAGTGTCAGCCTTTGAAAATGAGAAAGAGTGTCAGCCTTTGAAAATGAAGAAGAGTGTCAACCTTTGAGAAAGACTTTAATACTGTAGCTAGAAATGAGAGAGAGTTATTAGACTCATATACACACATGATAGGATGTTTAAAAGTTGATTAAAGACTCAAAGCTAATAATAGAGAGAAGATCAGACGATAGTTGGAGAGGCCATAATTTGTACATATTTATCTGTTTATATCTCTCAAATGTAATATATTATCTAACTGTTTATATCTCACAAATATAATATACTATTTATCTGTTTATATCTCACAAATGTAATATACTATTTATCTGTTTATATCTCACAAATGCAATAAACTATTTATCTGTTTATATCTCACAAATGTAATATACTATTTATGTGTTTATATCTCACAAATGTAATATACTATTTATCTGTTTATATCTCACAAATGTAATATCTATCTTTTTCGCCTTCAAATGTAAAGCAATAACACTTCAAAACTTAACCCTAAAGAAAAATGGGTTGAAAAATAACTAAAAAATAATTTATTACAATATTTAATTACTCATTTTTTTTAAGAATACTTTTGATTTCAGCTTTGCTTCGAAGAGGATTTGGAGTAAAGAGGTCAATGATTAATCCACATTTACCAGGTCCACGAGCCTGTAACATAAAACTAATGTATTTTTCATCTGTTTCCTAAAATAAAACAATGTAATAACTTAAAAAATAATTAATATATATGTACCATTGTGGTACTAATATAATAGAATAATATAGACATTTTTTTAAATAGGTATATTTTTCTATTCAAAAATAAAAATTTCTTTAAATCTTTGTATGCACTACAAAATAGTTTACCTAAATATAGATATATGCAAGAATTTTTTTTTTTTAAGCTCAACTCAATCCTGGTTGTTAAATATCCTCAAATTTTATTAAATGTTTGTTAAATAAATAGCAATACCATTAAACTATATCGTTGTTTGCTTAATCATTTTTAACACCAACAAATTTTACCCAATACTTACTGAATGACATTCAACACACATAAATGTTATCAAATGTTTATAAATCGATTAACAACATGACAAATTCTATTAAATAATTGCTGCATATTTAGCAACACCTCTAAATGTTATTAAATGTTTGCTAAATATTTAGCAATACCCCTAAGTGTTATTGAATGTTTGCTATATATTTAGCAACATCCCTAAATTTCATTGAATGTGTGCTACATAATTAGTAACATCCCTTAATTTTATTGAATGCCTGCAACATATTCAGCAACACCTCTAAATTTTATTGCATGTGCGCTATATATTTAGCAAAAATCCTAAATTTAAAACTACAACAACCCTAAATTTCAACTAACTTCAACGTTTTTGAAAACAAACATTTTACGCCTTTATGAAATAAAACTAACTGCACTCGTTAATAATAAACATTCTTTCTACTTATTGTACTTTATTGATAAACAAAAAGTAAAATAAAACAAAATGAAAAACTCTTTAAAAAGTGAAAACATCTTATTTATATTTTATAAACCTGTAGAAAATTTTTAACGAAATTTTATAACTGAATTGAATGAAACTAACTCTTAATGCATTTTTAATGGAGGTTTCAATTTTTTCTTTAGGCATACAAGAGGCTTTTGCTTTTGAAACAAGTTGAGCCAACTTTGAGTTAAATTTGACATCAGGGCCATTATCTAAAAAAAAAATTTAAGTTGAATTTTTTTTAAATAATTTTGTTAAAAATAGTTTTATGAAAAACATTTTCAGTTGATTGAAATAAAACTTACAACACTCATTAAATTGTCAATAATTGATTGGGAACATTAAATTGTCATTGCCAATATTGATTAAAACCATTACATTTTCATTTTAAATAATTAGGACCACTATATTGCCATTGTCAATAAACAATTGGAATAGTTCCAATCAATTATTGACTATGGTCATTACATTATCAAAGTTAATAATTAATTGAAACCGTTATATTGTCATCATCAATAGTTAAGACTTTTTTTTTAAATATATGGAGTTCAGTCTAATCAAGGAGGTACTCATTTTTTTGTTTTACGCTCTTTAAACTGCTGCACAGAGAAGCAAATTAAGTGTGGCACTCTTAGGGCGAGGTTAAACTCCATACCTCTTAATTACAATTCAAAAGCTCTGCTACTGCACCATACCATCATTGTAAATCAATTGATTTACAAGTGTTACAACAATTAAAACAGCTATTGCCAATAATTTAACATATATTATTGAGACAATTGAAATAATTTAACATATATTATTGAGACAATTGAATAATTTAACATATATTATTGAGACAATTGAATAATTTAACATATATTATTGAGACAATTGAATAACATTCAACTATCTTTACTCTTTTTTTTCATTGGTTCCTAATGCTAATTTCAACTTTTTCTTTCTTACTATTTTCTGTTGATGTATGATAGGAATAACATTAATAATGATGAAAAAAAGATATATTAGTACTTAATACCTAGTAATAAGTTTATACTCTATTATTTTATTGACAATTATAATAGTGTCAACTAACTAATAATCTTATATTGTTTATGGTTTGGGAGTTTGTTAAAAGATTCAATATATATTTTATCACAAAATAACAAATCAACAATTCAATATAAAACATTGGTTTGTAACATTTTAATTGTTAATATAAATTTAGAACATAAGCCTAATCTATTAATTTTAAAGAAAAGAATAATTTATTTTAATATTGTATTAAATAAAACATCAAATGTTTTATTTAATACATAGTAATTTTTCTAATTTGAATACTTTTTTAATAATTTTTAATGTAATTCAAGACATTTTTATCCAATAAATGCTTTTAATACAATTATTATCAGCCATAGCAACCATAACATACAACCAGGGTTGTGGAGTCGGAGTCGCGGAGTTGTGACAATTTTACCGGAGTCGAAGTCGCTAAAAAATATCGTGACTCCGATAGTAAAATTTCTTGGTATTGCACGTGCATGTACAAAACATTCAATTAACCTTATGTTCATACTAAACATCAAAGAATGTTTCATAAATTTTTCAAAAAAAAAATTCAACTTACCGGGCAATATTTTTTAAAGAATTCAAAGAATTTTTCAAAAATTTTGCTTTGGAGTTGGAGTCAGAGTCAGAGTTGGAGTCGGAGTTGTACTCAAAAAATTTCAACAACTGGAGTCGGAGTTGTTACTTTTTTTTTACGACTCCACACCCCTGCATACAACTAAAATATTGTATCCATGCTTTTTAGATTTACCAATGTCAGTGCAAAACTGTTGTTGAGAAATGCTTGAGGGTATTGATAAAAAATTTATCTTTATTTAAAAAAAGTATATAAATGAAGAATGAATTCTTCTATTAAAGAATCTTCGAAGAATCTTCTATTAAAAAACCATTGGATTATTTTAAAAAAATGGTGAAATTTTTTTTTACTTTGCCATTACAAGTATCAGAAATCAACAGAAACTAAGAAAGAAATAGTAAAGTTTGTTTAATAGAAACAAGCAATAGAAAAAAAGAGTAAAATTAGTTGAAATAATAGAAATCAAGAAAAAGAAAGAGTAAAGTTGAAATAAAAATCAACTAAATTTACTCTTTTTTTTTTAAACTATAAAGAAAGAAGCAAGAAAAAATTAGAAATAAAATAGCACAGAGAGAAAATTTCTACCTACATTTTGATAAAAATAAAACTAAATACAAAGATTGTCATTTAAAAAAAAACTGTCAAAATAAGAACGATAAAATTAACTTATATGAATTGTTAAATGCAATAATGGAAAACCCGATGACATATTCAAAACATTAAAAAAAATTGTTAAATGATTTTAAAACATGCAAATGTATTAATAAGTCTATGACACAACCATTGATTGCAGCAAACAATTCAACACACAAAGGTTAAATGGTTTAATGTAAAATACAAATTGATATTGGAAACTAGGCACATTACTAGAATAATTGGATATCAGCATCATACACTGGATTTCATTTTAAAATAGGATTCAAATCACTTTATAAATTATAAATCAATAATAATATAAATTAAATAATTTAAAAATTAAAAAAATTGAATATATATTAGAATTTAAAATAAACCTAAACACAAAAATAAAAATGAAATTATAAATAAAACCTATAAAAAAGCAAATAATGATTTTCAAAGTAGGAAAGAATTAAAAGCAAAGTATAAAATTAAAATAACAAATTAATTTTTTATTTTTCTATAAATCATTTACATAAAAAAAAAAAAAATTATTTTTGATTCCTTTTTTTTTAAGAAAAAAAAAACCTTAAATTTACATTACCTTTGACAGCTTGAATAATTTCCATAGAAAGTTTACCAAATACCTTTGCTCTCGCATTGTCAATGTGCATCTTTTTAAATTTAATATTTGACCATTTCGAATGGCCTGCAAACCGTTTTTGTATATGACTCAAAGAATTTAAAACTGTGATATTATTTTGGGAGAAATTATCAAAAACTAACAATAGAATATTTCTCCCATTTGATTTAAAGTTTTGTCTCAATATGATTGAAGCCATATTTTTAATTTATATTCATCTATTTTCATAAAACAAAAAAAAAAAATAATTTTTTTATAGTGCTCCTTTGTCGTTTTTGTAGGTATAAAAATTCTTTACATACTTAATTTTAACAACTTGTAATAAACTCGCAATAAAAGTATTTGGGAGATAGAGACATTTCTTCATTCAATTATGTTGTAATATGCACAAGTCAGTCAAAGAATAGATATAGTAAATTCAGTAAATACACCTGATGTGAATCTTTTATTTCTTTGTAAACAAATAACACAAAAAACTTAAAATATAAAATAAGAATATCAAAAATATGGAATGAAATAAGAAGAAAAAAAGTAAAAACAATAGTTTGCTGATTTTAAGCATTAAACAACTTAGCTGATGAAAAAAACTACCAATAGGTTTGAAGGTATGCAAAGAGAATATAAGGGAACCTTTAAGTAATGTGCAAAACCTTTAAGTCATTTGCTCTATTCTGATTAAGAATCATAACAATTTGACTCAAAAAATAAATACACTCCCATATGAACTTGGATTTTAAAAATAATATGAAAACGCCAACAATCATCATTTTCTTCAACCTAAAAAATAAAGATTTTTGAAAAGAAATTTGAAGTTTACTTTTTATATACACCATTTGACAAAGAAACAGGCAGAAAAGTATGTATTTACATCAACTCATGCATAAATATAGATCTAAATGTACAACAAGTAACTAACACACAGGCATAAACAAAAATAACTGTATACACATTAAATAATGACGTTTACCATAAATCAAGCTATAAACTTAATTGAAATGATAAAATAAAATACCTTTAGTCTCCCTGGTAGATTGTGACTTAAGTGCCTCCCAGCTTCCTTGGTTATCCTTTGGTCTTCTTTGATACCTACTTGGTCTATTTATATGTTTAATATACTTTAGGGTTTCCTCTATCCCCATCGGTCTCCCTTTTATTCCCTTCAGTCTGTACTTTGTATATTTAGCAATTAGTAATGAACTAATATAGCTTTTGTAAAATTAATGAAATATATATATTTAAAAATATGTCGTTTAAAATTTTTCTATTTAACAAGGATTGAAATATAACAAAAACATAGCATAAAAAGAAAAACGAAAAAAGTTTAAAAACTGTATGTGTATGCAGAGTTGCAACATTTGATTTAGCAAAGTTTTATATAACTATATAACTGCATAAAAACCGTTTTTTTACAACTATATATATATATATATATATATATATATATATATATATATATATATATATATATATATATATATATATATATATATATATATATTACATTTATTACAATTACTATTACAAATTTATATACATACATATATATATATATATATATATATATATATATATATATATATATATATATATATATATATATATATATATTACATTTATTACAATTACTATTACAAATTTATATACATACATATATATATATATATATATATATATATATATATATATATATATTATTATACATATATATATATATATATATATATATATACAAATATATATATATATATAAATATATATATATATATATATATATATATATATATATATATATATATATATATATATATATACAAATATATATATATATAAATATATATAAATATATATATATATATATATATATATATATATATATATATATATATATATATATATATATATATGTATATATATATATATATATATATATATATATATATATATATATATGTCTTTTTAGATAAGCATATGCTAACTAGTTTTGCTTATCTTTATAGCATACAGGTTTTTCAGAAAAAGAAAAAAAAACTAAAAATAATGAAAGAAAAGATTGCTGTCCAATGCCAAACCCTTAGTCAATGTAGAGGCACTCCTTTGAGGCAGCAGGCTATATGATAGTTGATGTATGTACTGAAGCCCCTGGCAGCAGGCTATTTTAATGTGATGTCACAGGGCTTATTTAAACAGGCATTTATTGTTTTATATATATATATATTTATATATATATATATATATATATATATATATACATATATATAATATATATATATAATTTAAACTTCTCATGAAGTCTGTCTAGCAGACCTTAGCAGAAGCCTCTTCGGCAACTATGAACTTGTCAAATCGATTTTTAAATTCGTTTACGCTTTTTGAATCCATCACTTGCAACAGTAGCTTATTCCATATGATTATAATTCTGTTTGTAAGGAAATTTTATCTTGCTTGTTTTTTTTTGTGAATTGATTTAGAACCTCTAACAATGCTTCCAGGTCCTTGTGTTGAATGGAAATGTGATATAATATAATGTGAAAGAATTGCTATAATACCAATAAACTTCATTGAAAATCTTGACTGTTTCCTTGACTGTAAAATATTGTATAAAGTCCCCTCTTTTCTTTCTCTGTTCTAGAGTTTGCAGATTGAGACTAGTTAGACGAGTCTTGTGTACAATCTAAATAAATATAGACAAGTTTTGTTATACTATCCTTAGTCTAACAATACTTAAATGTTTTCTTAAGCATGCCTAGAATTATATTTGCTTTATTAATGAGGTGTTTGATGTTGTAATTCCATTTTAATATCTTATTAAAAATTACACTGAAGTTTCATTTAGTTTCTGTTGATTCAAGATTAAAAATGGCTTCAGTATCGTATTTCATAGTACAATAAAAATTATTGAGATTTTTGCTTTTTATGACTATGCATGAAAGACAAATCACATTATTTAGACCAGTTTATGAAGGGTTCAAGATCGTTTTGAACTTATAAAATACCAATATTGTTTTTAATCATAGCAATAATCTGGCCATCATCCGCAAAAAAATTTTAAAAATTCTTGACTATCTCTGACATATCATTTATAGATATCAAAAATGATAGTTGACCAAGGATAGGACTGATCCTTGTGGTACTCCACTTGTTACTTTTGCTCAACCAGAATATAAACCTATCTAAAACTACTTGTTGTCTTCTTTTATGTAATATCAAAAATCCAGGCTATTACTTTTACATCAAATCCAAACCCATTTAGCTTTAAGTCCAATATTTTGTGATTAACTCTGTCAAAAGCTTAGAAAAAATCAAGATTAGGACCATAAAATGATTAGGACAGCCATAAAACTATGTAGTTTTATGGCTGCCCTAACCTTAGTTAGTAATCGTAGTTTGAGATTAGTAAAGTGTTTAGTCATGTATTCTCTCAATAACCTCTTCATGATCTTACCTGCAATTGAAGTCAGCATTAATCTATTTTTTATGAAGATGGATGAGATATGAGCATCTTTCCAGAGGAAAGAAAAAATACCTATTTCAAAAGATTTAATAAATATATAGGATAGTGGAAAACTCAAGTTCTTATGACATAAAAGAACAAAAGCATATACTGGTCAACTCTAGGTGGTTTTTGTCTAAATTGTGCAGTAGAGTGGCTACTCAAGTATTATAATAATTAAAAAAAAATTATATTATAATTAAAAAAAAATTTGTCTTTACTTTTACTTGAGTATAGAGTAAAACTAAAGACAACTTTTTTCGAATTAGTTTCTTTACTTAATTTCTTTGCATGGTATGCAAAGAAATTAAAAAATTACCTAGAGTAATGCATACCAAAATGACACATACTTTGAAACAAAAACATTAGATCTTCAAGTGGTTTTCTCCATTATCTTAGCTCACTACAATATAATTGCCAAATAAAAAAAATATGTCAAAGAACTTTAATAAATATAAAAATGCCCTTTAAAATATTGTTCTCTTAAACTTATTATAAATTTTCTTTTCTTTTAAAATCAAAATAAATAAATGATTTATTTTTGTCTAGGGCCTAGACAAAAACAAATCATTTTAATGGCATTTTATCTATACGATGAATAAAGAAAAATCTTTATATATACTTAAAAACATTTTTTATTTGTTTCAAATTGAAAATATTTAGCGCTTAACATTAAAGATAATAGCAGCCACACTTCTCGAGGTCGCTTTTAGACACTGAGGACTAAAAAATTTCAAAATATTAAAAAGGTACAAATTAAAACAATTCTAAATTCTCCATCAAAGTTGAAATTTTATACTTTTTTTAATGATTATGTTGATTTCAACGTATTAAAATAATAGTAAATAAAGTATTTTTGAATTTTAGGGCAGTAATTGTAGGTTTTCGAGATGTGGTGGTAGAACGGTCGCTTAGAAAGCGAGGAATTCTGATTTCGACATTAGCATAGTCATTTAATATACATAATGAATTAATAAGTTAATAAATAATCATTATGATAGGGACTTAACATAATCATAACACCGACGTAAACCGCAACTTCTTCGAAGCGCAAAATATTTGTTTTGCCAATGCGTTGGCTCAGGGTAAATCCCAATTTGCTTAAGGCCATAAACAAAAAATACTAAACGAAAACTTAGCTTCCTTATTTTTTATTTATTTTTTCTAAATCGTATTTGGCTGAATATTTTTAAATTTAAATTTCTTTGCTTAAGATTTGAGTATTTTTATATTGTAAATTACATATTTATATTGACAAATTTACTTTATCTTTCGATGAATGGACATTGTAACGTAACCTCATTACGTAACTGTTGCTATTAATTTACATGCATGAAATGCTTAACAGGATCAATCCAAATAAGTGTATTAGGCTATTAGAACAAAGGCTTGCAAAACATGAACTCGGTTTGCGATAAGATACTGCTGGCATCAAGGGCGCCCGTAGGATTTTTTGATGTTTCAGATAGGGCACTTTCCCTCATTGTACAAACTCCAAACTTAACTATATTCATACCTATGCCAAACGAGGAGGTCTTGCAAAAATTTGGTATGGTGGAGTCCCCTGCCCAAACGTGAGTGCAGTGATGTAGTAAAATTTTCAACTTTACTATCTTAAATTAAATTTAAATTTATCGACAGATATTAAATTTCGAAGAAAAAAATTAAAAATTACAAAAGTTATGACCATGCAAATTTTCCGCCCCCCCCCCCCAAAAAAAAAAGAATGAGGGGGTATAAATTTTGCATGATGTAATTTACAATATTTTTTTAAGAAATTAAAAATCTGTCGATAAATTTTAATTTAGTTAAAGAAAATTTTACTACATTAGTGTCCTCACGTTTGGGCAGGGGGCAAACGTTTTAGAGCTTTTTTGTTCCCTGGTCTCTGCCATCCCAAATCTTTGCAAGGCCTCCTCATTTGGCATAGGTATGAACATACTTAAGTTTAGAGTTTGCACAATATGTGAAAGTGTCCTATCTGAAACACCAAAAAATCCTGCGGGCGCATATGGCTGGTTTTATGACTAACAAAGCAGATGTTATGAAAAAATTTGGGAGATTATTTCTTGTAAATCAATAGTTTGGTTCTGACAAAGGGTGAAAACTGTTTAGTTATAATAGACATCGAGAAAACCAGTGTGATGTTACTAAGTTACGTTGCTGTCTATTAATTAAAAAGGTTCAAAAATTATTAGTACGGGAACCTGTTGTACCTTTGACCACGTTGTACCTTTGGTCACTCAACCCTGTCAGCCTACTATAATTTTTTTAAAAAAACGTGAAGTGCCATTTAAAAGAATATTTAATGACAAATCTTCTTACCGTAAAAGATCATACCTGAGATGTATCGTATCCACAAGAAATTATAAGTTTTGGCTCTTAAAAAGTAAATATATGTTTTAATCTTATTTTGATTTTAAAACTGTCATAAATTGTTGTCTGGTTTATCTACGACATTACAAACATTACCCAACATCTATGTTAATTATGTTAATACATTTTAGTTTTGAAATGCCAAGGATCAAGGTTGGTGTTTTTTGCAAGAAGCTTTCCGAAACGGATTTGCTTAATACAGTAAATATTGTTCTTGAACAATAAATGATTAAATTAGACTGTATTTATTAGAAAAATAATACATGTTCTAAAGGCCGCGCAGATCCATATTGATGGACACTAATAGTGTGCCCCAAAATAAATTAATTATGTAACAGCGTACAACATTAAATAATTTATATACACAACTAAACAATA